ATATGAGCACAACAACATGGATGGGCTAAGCGAATGAACGCAATATTTTTATTATTTTAGAAGTTAAATAAAAAATAAGTATTCTGTTTTGAACTGAATTAAAATTTCTTCTATTTTTTGTAAAATTAAGTTTCATTCCTGTACCATAGAAGTTGCTTTGAATAAACTTTCGTTCTGTTACTGGCATGACTTAATTATGTGAGCACAAGTGTATATATCTTATAGTAAAGAAAAAGTTTGTTGATAATATTTCTTATACGATTGCACTTAGTACCAACTTGACTCCTAAAAAAATATCTTAATTTCACTTTTCCCAAATAATTGAAGACAGAACTCGTCTGATTTTGGTATGCTATAAGTGCATAAGTACATATATAAAACCTAGTGACATAAGTACTTATATCACCCTTAATGTGATGTGCGAAAAAGAGAGCACTATAAATATAGAATTACATGTTATTATTCCCACCTGTTTTTCTTTGAGTAATCTCAGCCTTTGGAGTAACGGTAGCCCTGCACCAATTGGACTAGGTGTTTTGTCTTGGTGCGTTTTTTCTTCTTTTTTTTCCTCCTTCTCTTCAGAACGCACATGTGACATTCGCTTCAAAGTTGTTTTATTGCCTTTACTTAAGGTGTCTTGCAGCGGCCGCATCTCTAACGATTCATCACTTCTTCGCGTCCTGAAAATGAACGAATTATTCTTTAATACGTTCTACTTACATAATTGTTAAATTTATATTTTTTATAAATAGTATTTGTAACATGTAGAGATATAGTACGTAGATAGCCTTTTGTATTTCGGGATTTCGCAAACCTGGTGTTACAGCAATTCAGAATTTTATCGAGAAGTTCGACATTTTTAATGTTATACTTATATGCTCAGAACGTTTGCCACGTGGATTAACGCAGCGAATGAACTTAACAGTCTCCGGTTCTTCCTGTTGCAACAGTTGTTGTTCCGGAAATTATTGATGCTGTGCGCAAACTTATATTGTGCTATAGTCATGTGATATAAGCATTAGTTATGACTAGAATAAATTCAACATCGTATGAACATTTGATTTTATTTTTATTTTTTTTAGGGATCACTCTTCGTCACTACAATGCAAACTCTCACCATCGATTGAAACAATTGCATTTTTGAGTACTAATAACATGAATTTAATGAGGCATTCACCGTAAAGTCTTGACTCGGTAACGAATGACTCTACCACCGATTTGCGACATCTGTAGAGGCGATTGATGCGTTCGGAACGCGTCTGAGATACCTCAATCAGAGTGGCGAGAGTGGTCAATGTTAAGCCGCTTGCAAAAATGAATATATTTTAATTGATAAAACAATAAAGCGATTTTCAATGACTAATATTTGATTTTGTTTTTTAATCCCGAAATATAAAATGCCACCTACGTAATAGCTTTGGATAATTCACCTTGTCTTTTTAAGCATACTTCGGATTCCTTTAACATCTTTTCTTAATTTGTACACAATTTTTTTTGAGGCACTATTTTCGCTACTATCGCTTCGATTAATATTGCTATATACATGTGGATGATCCGATTGCTCATTATTACATTGTGCTTTCGCGTACTTCTTATTTACGCAACGAACTTCCATTAGCCGCTTCCGTCCAAGAGTTTGTAAAATTTCTTGTGCTTCCGGGTAGTCCTTCATAGCGGCGAGTACATCTTCTCTCGACAATGAAAACAATTCAGAATAACCAACTGAGCGTACATCAGCCGTACGCCTAGAATAAAAAAAAAATGAATTGTATTGTTTAGCTTTTCAAACATTTCACAAACTTATTAAGGCCATCCAAGTTCAGAATTCCGATTTCACCGAAAAAGTCGCCAGCCTTCATTGTCGTTAACACTTTACCGGTTTCACTCAGCACTTCCAGTATACCATCAGCTATTATAAACATTTCTCTGGCTACCTCACCTTTACGGCAAATGGAGTCTCCTGGTGTAAATATATATGCTTTCATTTTCAATACCAAATCATGTAAAAATTCTGGTTGGCACTCTTGAAATATAGTGACTTTTTTTAAGACACTCAAGTTAACATGTAACGCTAGTTCTGTTTTCAGCTTGTCCGGCAATAAACCCAAAGCTGTGTTTATATCACCTCCTCCTTGGATACGTCCTCTAGACCAGCTGTAGTCGTACCAACGGAGCACGCGTCTCTTCATTCCACCTGGAACCTACAATATTATATTCATAATTATGTTATGGTACTACATCAAAGCCATGAAAATATCTTAAGATACTCTATATGACATATTCACTAACCGACATATTCGACATAAGGTTTGTTAAAAAAACAAAAATCATTATACGTTCTGTATGGGAGTTGGGGTAGTGTCAACCCGATCTTATCTATTAAATAATCACTCCACATACTAAAAAAAATGTCCTGGGTTTCAATAAATTACTTCAAATACAATCACTAGTCATATGGAGCATCTGTCGGATGTTCAAAACTTCTGGTAATATTTATATGGGGGCTAATATTCATTCATTTTCGCCACACAGAATAACTATTATCAGGAAAGTATTCTGTCTGAATTTCAATTCTATACGCCTTACATTGACCGATATTTTCGATAAAAAGTCAACTATATATACGGAGGTCAACATATTCGGTACCTAAGGGCAGTTTTGGTTGGATTTTGACAATTTTTGGTCATAAGAGTGTAAAATTGTATCCCGTTATATTAATTACTTCTTGATTTGTGTACTATAAAGTGCAAGAATCAAATATAATTTAAAATTGTGTTATATGGGCATTAGACGTGGTTGTAATCAGATTTCAGTGACCTAGGAATATGAGGACTATGCTACGTACTCAATTTAGTCGAAATCGGTTTGGTTGGATCTCGAGATATGTGGTTTAACCAAAAAGTAAAATTTTTGCACTGGCTCCCATGAAGCTCCCTCATACCATCTCGACGATAAAATGTAATGTCTCTGGCGTATTTTATTATTGATTTATTGCGCTTTTAATAGTTTTGAACAGTAATAGTTTTATGTGGAGAGTGAGCGAAGTTATCTTTCGATTTTTTTTCAATTTCACTTTTTCAAAATTTTTGCCTACAAGTGCCCTTACCACTGCGATCCCCTGTGCTAAATTAAAGTTGTATATGTGACCTGGTCTACGGAAAGGGGGCTTAGGTGTCAAAAAATCAATTTTCACTTTGTAGTTGATTCGGATGGAAGATAAAATGCTTTTTTTAACAGCTGTTTCCCAGAAAACTAGTTTTCGCACGTTAGCTCCTTTTTCGTAGACCAGGTCACATATATTAATTTGAAGCTAAGTTATGCATTTTATAAGTCAGTGGCATTTTGTAGGCGTGGCAGTTTACCGATTACGTCTTTTGTATTAAGGAACCCGCGTACCAAGTTTCATCAAGATATCTAAATTTTTACTCAAGTTACAACTTTCACGGTCGGACAGATATACAGTCACCCGGATTTCAACGTTTATCGTCATCGTGATCATTTATATCTGAAAACTTCTCGAAAATCCTAAATCTCCTAAACCCCTTAAATTGGAAGCTATTGTATATCTATATCTTCTACTTTTTTTGTTGTTTTAAGTGAACTTTTAAAATGGGTTCGGCATTTACTAAAAAACGAACAGTTACTCATATGTTCATTATGTTCATTGATTTCATACTAACATAAAATATGGCTCACTTGATTTATTTATAAATTTACAAACCTTATGATGACGCATGTATGTCTTAGCTCCATCCAGCAAGCGTTCGAACTCCAGGCGGTTAGCATTACGATTAGTTATCACATTTCCAACTTGACCGACAATGGTTGCAAAAATGAAAACTCCAATAAGATAGCTGACAATTGTAAAAATATACCTAGGAAATACATAAAACCACAATGACAGACAAAACTATTAGAAAAAATCACAATAATGCATCAAAGTTTTCGAAAAAAACATGACATGAGCAGTATCGAATATCTTCATAATATCAATAAGTGTTGAAGGCTGTCACAACTTTCGAAAACTTTGATGCCGTTTTTATGAATCAAGAGGTTAAAATAATAACAATTGAAGTGACAAATATATTTCCAAAAATCGCGTGGACAGCCCCAACATTATTGATAAACCTATACTGCATATAAGCCTCAATCGCTCACTATGCTGAGGCTTTAACGTAAATATATTTGCATATTCGTTGAAGATAATGATGGAGAAATCGATTTTAAGTGAAATCCTGTTTAGAAGACTATTAACGTATCTCCTTACCCAACTAAATGCGGTTTCCATCTTGCTTTGATGTCTAAAAGGAACGCTTTGGTTTTTAAAATCTAAAACATAACGACCAGGATTTATTTGCCAAGCTTCAAAAGTTTCAATAAAAAATTACAGTATAGTAAGCGATTGAGTTTTAAGACAAACTTATGTATGCACATATAGTGCATATGAAAGTATATATGCATAATCAGAAATGAGAATATAATTAGAATAGAAGGTATATCATACCCATAATTGGAACCGAATTGCAGTAATCTAGATCGTATACCACGTCTTGGTATAGATCTTGGGCCATCCACTGAAAAATTTGGTCTTACGATAGAATAAAAAAAAACATAATTTATAAAAATAAATGAATTGGTTTCATTAACATCTAGTAATGAGCTAACACTTCATAAAACCCAATTATATGCGTATAAACAAAAAAGTAAATACAATTATGTTCATTACCATTATAAAAATTGTTTAAAATTGCATTTCGGGATTTATTGTGATTATAATACCCTCGCAAAATGTTGTTACAGTCTATTATAGTTTTGTTTACCTACCGGTTTTTTATGATACAACCTAAAGCTAAACGAGATAGATATGGATATATAAATGATCACGATGACCAGATTGACACTAAAAGAAACTTGATACTGTCGATGGGCGTGATCGGGCCACTCCGCAAAATTACACCACACGACGACACCCCATCCACCAAGCAACAAAAAGGATTGTCACCACAAAAACACGATGACATACCAAATATCAAACTGGCAAAACGGACGAGATCATTGCTCAAAATTAATTATTTTACTGATGTGATTGCACAATCTCATTTCGCTCCGCTTTAGTATTAAAAGTTGGAGAGAATAATGTTGTGATAATGATAACAGCGTGCTTTTGTACCGCAAGTGCACTAGCCTCCATGTACCCAAAATAAAAATGTTTCGTACATTTCAATATGATGACATTTCGGTTGCCGTTATAAATATATTATATATTATAAAATATCTTAGAAAAATTAAGTGAACGTATAATACTGGATATACATTAGTTTATGGCAAAAATGTGTGAAATGGGTTCACAAAGGTTATTTCACAAAACATTTTATTATAAGTAAGTTTATTTCACAAAAGTTTATTTTAAGTTTACAAGTTTATTTCAACGTGATCAGTGCTCGTCCGCGTGGCGACTGACTGTGTCGTTTTTAAAAAGACTTCGCTACTCGTTGTTGTGTTGCATGTCACTGTCCGTACGTACACCCACTTCTAGTATACTTTATTCATTCCCATATTAATTTAATTTGAAATTTTTTTCGGTTTCTTCGAATAATACATGTTGAATTCCTACTCAACATTTCTTAATATACAGATTTGCAACACCTGAAAGTATTTTTCAGCTTTTGCAAATTGCGAGAGTATAAAATGTTCGGTTACACCAGAACTTAGCCCATTTTTAAAGGTTTTTGTACACATTTATGATAAGGACTGTACCGAAAAGAAACTGCACATTTTCAATTCAATATTTCTCATGAAGTAGCCGTTTGATCACGTTGCGGTAAGTACCGTTAGAAAGCGTATTCAGTTCTGCTTCTATTGTTTTTTCTTTCTCGAATCAAAGAAAAAAGGTGTTGGCCTTAATAAACCAAAACAAATCAATGTCTGTGCGAAATTTGGCGAAAAAAGCTAAAACTAGTGTTACTATAATTCCAAGAGTGAAGCAAAGAAATAACTTAAAAACTTAAAAAAACCAAAAGATTCCCAAAGAAAGTCAACGACAAATAAAAACAGGGAAAACAAGGCTACGTAAATTGTACGAGCGTTTGCTAAAAGATTCTGTTAAGTGTGTTATAATGGACGATGAAACACACGTAAAAATGGACTCAAGAACATTACCAGGTCCCCAATTCTATACAAAACCAAAAGATGGTACTGTCGACCAGTCAGTGTCAACAATTGAAATAGAAAAATTTGGCGAAAGAATACTCATATGGCAGGCTATATACTCTTGCAGCCTTAAGACCACTCCATTTTTCACAAAGGGTACTATATCGGCCGACAATTATAAGAAGTGTCTAAACCGTCGCCTAATACCATTTTATAAGAAACACATCGTATAAACAATATTTTGACCCGATTTAGCCACAGTGCACTACGCTCATTCTTCTTTGGCTTTGTTGAAAGGTTAACAATGTCAATTTTGTTAAAAAAGAGGAGAACTCTCCAAGCGCCCCAGAATTTCGCCCGATAGAGAAGCATAGGACAATTGTCAAACGGAACTAGAAAAAGGATCATCGAGTTGCCAAAAACGTCAACGAATTAAAAAAACTGGCTTTAAGAGTCGAGACGTTACAAAAGAAGGTGTGCAGAATTTAATGGAGTGAATTTAACGAAAAATTCAGCTTAAATTAAGAGAATAATATTTTTTTACTAGTTTTAATTAAAAGTGGATAAAAACTATTCTATTTGTTATTAAAAAAAGTTACAAGCAAATATTAATAAAATCCGCTACGTTACAATTAAAAAATTGTGTGCAATTTCTTTTCGTTCACAGTCCTTAAGTAGTTTTTAAAAATTTTCACATTGTAAAATTTTTACGTTAGACCATATTTTTAATACCATTTTCCGGTTCTTCAATGAAATTCATTAAGATGTTTTTTTATATGGCATGTCTTCACTACATTCTTGACATGTGTATGAATACGACAAAAAAAGTTTAAAACTCGTTTTTCTCGTATGTATTATACGTAGCCAATTATAAGTAGAAGTATTTTAAACTTATTATGCTAATTAAAAGCACTTACTCTGCATTTGTTTCGGGGGTTGGTAAATCTCCAATTGTAGTTAAAGTAAGGGTAGACCAATAAAGACTACCTAGATACTTTCTAGTCAATGTCGCGTAATCTCCTGGTCGGTAAGGATATACCCAGTCTCCCTTTATAAAAGAGAAATAAAATCATCAATAACTGAAATTATCTCGTTTTTCACAAATGTATAGTACCAACCTGAAATCCTTCAGCTTCCGATAATAGATAATAAAAACACCCAAACCAATGCGCCAAAATTAAAAGAATATGAATTAAGTTTATAACTCGCCATAAATTTGGCCAAACCGTCCTACTTTCAACAATGTAATAGAATTTTACACATCGATACACCTAAAAAGGAAAAAGCTATACAGTAACTGTATGGCAATACACATTGATCACACGTACCTTAAAAAATCTTGAAAACCGTAGAAGAGGATTTGCACCGATTTTAAGTTGGATCAAATCCAGGGGAATCAATGATATGATATCCAAGATGAAATCTCTAGAATGAATGTAATGAAGCGCTAATTTTTTATCATCGTAAACCATGAGTCCTTGTTCGAGATATCCTGTGCGTAGTTGGACAACTATATCGAATACGAAAACAACATCCGTGAGTGTATCACAAACAAACCAAAAAATAGGAACAGCTTGCTGAAAATAAAAATATGAACAAAATGCAATATGGAGAAAAGTTATTATTTTAGGACAAAAAAATTTATATTTAAACGAAATCGTTTGCTGATTATTGTTAAAAGGACACCTGTAATGGAGCTTAGATTACAGTACATCCGAAATTTGATAGCTATGAAATTCGAGAGTACGGTGTTTCAAAATATGTGGCGTCGCAATAAAAATAAAGCACTTTTGTGTAGTACTGCTGTACATTGACTTTGGAATCATACTGCAGTATATAGTTTGATTTTTAAAAATATATGCACAACTGTAACACTTTATAATTATTAGGCATTTTTTGATCATTAATGTTAGTCAATAAAATTTCTGAATTTCCGACCGAGCAGGGTGAGATAAAATGCCTTAAATTCATGCAAGAATGCCAAGATCGTGCTTATGAATATAGAGATAAAACGCGGATGGTCCTCGCCTCGTCTCGAAAGGACTGTAAGGCGATTGTTGGCCTAGTCCCAGGTAAGAAATTTATAACATTACATGAAAGCCGCATGGGATGACACATGTAGAAAGTACAAGGTAGTAGGCATGAGGGACACTCTTGAAGGTCTCCTTTCTTTCTGTCCGGCGTAATCTAAACCTCGACTTAGATGTTTAAGAGCTTCGGAGCTCAATCAATTGTGAGATGGGTTGATATTATGCACGCAACAAACTTAATCTTGTATTAAATTGAACATTACATTATCTAGCATTACAAAGGACCTACAGCTCTTATGGCGTGACAGCCAGTAAGTATAACCTTACCGACCAGTTTATCCAATAAGTTTTGTCTCTTTGAACAATGTGGTAATTTGCGGAAAATTTAAAGGCAATCGTTTTATACTGGGCCACAATCTGCCTTGAAACAGTTAACTTCTTCCTTTTAATTAGTTTCGAAGCCATCATGACCAATGTACTATACTATGTAACATATGTACTATGCGCTCTTTCGCTACTTTAAGTACATACAGATTTTATCGGTAAATTTATTCCACCAATGGTACAGTTTGAAATAATTATTACTAAATTATTGTAAATTTGTTTTTTATAAACACTAGTTATTAAGTTAACCAAAAACTTTCGAAAATGGTCATATAAGGAGCGTTCCAAAGTAAACAGGACTTTAAGAAAAAACAGAACAAATGGTTTTTTCGATAAAACCAATTTACTTTATTCAAAATAGTCTCCTTCTGCTTCAATACAGCTTTTTACACGGTTCAAAAGCATGTCGAATGAGTGTTTTAGCTGGCCGCCAGTATACCGGCGCAAGCCTTTGGAATGGCCTCTACGTCTGCATAACGCTTTCCTTTCATGGGCAAATGCATTTTTCCGAAAAGGAAGAAGTCGCACGGTGTCATATCAGGTGAATACACAATATTGTAAAAGAAGTTTTTTTTTTTTTTTTGACCTCTTTAATGATGTCCTTCGAATGTTTGATTCTGAGCAATTTTTGGTTGTAAGTCAATTTGTGCGGAACAAACCATGCACATACCTTTCGTAAGCCCAAATCTTCGGTGAAAATGCGATAAATTCATGTTTTAGAGATGTTCAATTCCATTTCCACTCGTGCACTCTGCAACGGGATAGGCAATCATCGCCATAAACTTGTTTCATCAATTGAAACGTTTCGGTAAAAGTTTTATCAATTATAAAACAAAATTTAATGTTGGCTCTTTGTTCGAAGCTCATTTGCGCACGCATAACACAAACATACCGATACTTAATAACTTGTCTTTCAATCTATGAAATGTCATGAAATTCTCATTGGACAATCGATAGAGATAGCAGATGCCAAAGCATCAGTCGACATGGCGCCACCAGGGGGCGATTCAAAAAGATTCAAAAAAAATCCTATTTACTTTGGAACGCTGTTTGCATATACATCCTTACATATTTACATATAAATACATATACATATATGTATGTATTAACGATGCTGCAGTTTATAACAAATTACCTGCAATTCAGGAAAACTTTGTCGCACAATAAGAGCCCATAAATTGTATAAAACAGAAACAGTTAGTAACATCAACCAATAGAAATAAAAGTTTTCATCTGGATTAACAACAGATCGCCGCTTTTGCAAAAATCGACGCCGGCGTTTTGTACTTTTATTAGATTCTCCAAAGGCGCTCTCCGACCCAGTGTCTTCGACCGTTTCCTGAAATTAAAGATATCGTTATGAATGCATCAAAATGAATTACTTCGCTTTGCATCGGACATTTGCTTTGACGGGTAAGCTCGATATGGCTTTTGAATTAGTACATTCACATCGAGGAGAAACAAAGCAAGTCTAAACTAAATGTTGTACAACTCTCATCTTTTAATTAGAGAGACGCATAGAAAGCAAAGTTTTCAAACTGACACACCCTTCGCTTTCTTCGCTTCGTTATTAAAGTAAGAATTGTCAAGCAAAACGAAAAAAGTTTTATTTGAATCGGCCATAATCCCCAAGGGAGTGACTTGAAAGAAAAATGCATTGTAAGTTCATAATGCTACGATCGAAAGAAGCTACTGGCTTTATTTACAATTACTGTTTAGGATTATTTACATTAGTTTTAAGCTTAGTTTCTAATAATATAAGTCTCATCTGACAATACTGTCTTCTCTAAGCTTTCTATTTGTTATCTCTCTTTTATCGTTCATTTATGTTTGTTTGTTTATCTTTGTTTGTTCATATTTAAAAGTTAGGGTTTTTTAAATTCCGTTTCCCGTTTAGTTTGCGTCTTATAGCGAGTGATCGAAATAAAAAATACATGGTATGTTAATTGCATTTTATTTTACAGATGTAAAAATTCGTAAACTTCGTACTTGTGTATATAGCAGAAGAAAGCGAAAGCTAATTCTAATTGTTACCTGAGTTTCTGGAATTTGCCGCGTAGAGAATCGCTTTAAAAAAGAGTCCTCTCGTTTTAATGGTGGCTTTTTCTGTATCGCTGATGATATTTGGACAGTTGTTCTGAGCTTCATCCATCGCTGATTGGATCGATTCCTATTTTTTCAAATATTATTCTGTAGTGTTCTTAGAGTTAAAATTACATAATCACTGATAAAATATACATATACATATATATGAATATAATTAAGTCTGAATATGCAAAATTAAAAATTAATTAAATTTAAACAAAACCGCACTTTATACTTCACAATTTCATTATATCCTTATAAATTCTATTCAAATATTCAACTATTTCAAATGCATCTTTCTCCGATTTATAATAAACTAGCAGCCCGCCTGGCTTCACACAGGTATTAAACAATCATTTCAAAAGTTATAATTTATCCCGTTTAAAACAGATTGGCCGACTACTTGGGATCATCGCAATACTCGCTATATGAGCTAGTTGACTAGCTTCTGTGCCGGTGATAATGGTTGCTATTAAATTAAATTGTCCTTCAGTTCCATAATAAGCAGCCTCGTCCCGTTACACATGTTTGATGAACTTAAATTCATCAAAAGCATAATTTCTTCCCAAAGTTTAAGTGGTTGCTGTGGATATTCACCATCAGTGATTCCATGAAGATGAGCTCTCATATTCGTCCGTAAATTTATATTTTCAATCGAAGTCCATAAGGATGACGATATTAAGCATGCTTTGATGACATCTGCTCGCGTACCTCTGTTAATGACAGGAACAGTCTGTCTCCAACAAATACAAAAGTTATCCCACCTATGAGAGCAAAGGGTTTCTAAGGGCTTTTAATGTTCTGTCCACGGCCTGAGACGTCTTGCAATAGTTAACCAAGAGACCCATTTTTGCGCATAGAACATATTGATTGCTGTTCAAGCTTTATGGGTAACGGAAGTTTAAAAGATGAATGAGAAGTTTTTCATCCTTTAAAAAGGTTGCAGCAACTGCTTCGCTATCTTCTCTGATTTTCTTACTTTAGCAAGTATTAAATTTGCAAGAAACGGAAACAAATATTGTTTTTGTTATTATTCACGCTATAGCTCGCGCTTTTCCGTGTATTGCAGCTTAGCTAAAATTTAAATTACTTTCTCTGTCTAAATTTAACATTATCTGTTTTAAATAATTAATGATTTTTGTTTTACTTTACGCTCGTAAGTCGGTTAAAAATTAATATTTTCCGATTTTTTTTTACAAACCATCCTCATTGGATTACCTTCAAAGTGGTTCAGCTCATGTTTCATTTCATGCAACGGTTGAGTCAGCTATAGCGGACAGACAAAAAACCCAACTTATTTTTATACTCTCGCAACAAAGTTGATAAGAGAGTATTACAGTTTTGTTCACATAACGGTTGTTTGTAAGTCCTAAAACTAAAAGAGTCAGATATAGGGTTATACATATATACCAAAGTGATCAGGGTGACGAGTAGTAGTAGGTTGAAATCCGGATGTCTGTCTGTCCGTCCGTCCGTCCGTCCGTGCAAGCTGTAACTTGAGTAAAAATTGAGATATCATGAT